GGCTTTGGCCTGAGCCGCCCGCACGGCATCCCTGTAATGCATCGCCTCCTCAAGGTGCTTAGCGAGGTCCTCCCTCTTAGAGTTCAAATCCTTCACCAAGCCCTCAAGCTGGATGCTTGTGCTTAGGGCCCAAGCCATACAGGCGCTGTTCGTTGCCACCAAGTCCTCAGCCGTGCAGGAGGTGGTGTGGTCCCTCCACTCCTCCGTCCAGTATTTATTGTGGACCACCACCACCACAGCTATTTCAGGAGGAAGAGCCTCCAACACTTCCCTTATAGGCTCCTCAGGATTGGTGCCCAGAAAGTTGACCTCCTTAGAGGGACGGAGCCTTTTTCTCTTCTGCTGCCCCGGCGCTTGGTCAATTGGCACTACAGCAAGGGGTGTTGTGGTCGGGGTAGCAACGGGCTCAGTTGGAGAGGGCCTTTTCTCTGGGAGGGCCACCCCGTGGGAATTATGGTCTACCTCAGAGCTGGGGGTGGCCTCGCTACAGTTGGGCGTCTTGGAGGGACGGTACTTTTCTTGCCCTTCCTTCGAAGGTCAACCTCCGGGTCCTCCGGTACTTCCTCCTCCATCGGGGGCTGGAGCCTTTTACTGGCCTCCACCAACTCCTCCATATACTTTTTGTATGAGGAGGAGGAGGCCTTCAACGCCCATGCCTCTGCCATCATCTTCTGGATGGTCTTGAAGTCGGGACGCACTGGCAGCTTTTGATTAAAGTTGTCTGCAAATAAGAAATTAATACAAGTCTTCAGAGTTCGGAATAAAAAGTAAAGACTTCGGTCCAGTTACCTTGGGATGCCATTAAATTGTGAGTAATAAAATGGATGTTCTTTCGGATCAACCTATGGTAGGACCTCTTCTTTTGAGGCAGCTGATAAATGACACAGATGGTGTCAAAGTCCTCGATTGACAGCTCGCACCGAGGAAGAGCACCTACAAAGGAAATGTAACTGTTAGACACAATTCGAACCGAAGAGAAATATAAGGAGCAACTACTACTATACTCACTAAGTGTTGAATACTTCGTTGGAACCGTAAGAGGTGCCAGGGGATCCCCCTCCATCGTGTCCCATTGCCCTGCTGCCCAGCACCATGAGCTCTTCCATTCTTTGATGGAGCTCGACCAAATCGACCACGAATGGAGTGTGGGAACCCCATGACGTAAGGTAATACCATCCTCGGGTCTTATCCCCCCCCCCCGGCGGTAACCTTAGGAATATAAAAGGTTTGGAAAACGGAAAGGGGCATCTCCACCCCTAATGACGCCTCTTTCCACAACATCCAGGAGCCCACCATCTGGCTCCAAGAGTTCGGATTGAGCTGCGTCGGGGCTAGCCCATAGGACCTAAGCACCATCCTAAAGAATGGGTGAACGAGCAGCCTATGTCCGACCCTAAGGATCGCCTCCCTAATGGCCACACAGCTCGGCCTAGGGTAGCATGTTCTCTCTTCCGGCCCGGGGAGGATCAAATCTACGCTATCAGGGATCCTATACTCTGTCCTAAGTCTCCCCAGGTCGGCCTCCCTTAATTTCGATGGGTAGTCCGACGCCCCCCAATGCACAGAGGTATCTGGTGGACTATCTGGTCGTTTCCATATATTCTCCCCCCATTATTGCCTCGGCTATTTCTGAGGAGGTCGCCACAATGGGCTCGTCCACCCTCACCATTTTTAAACCTCTCCTCGAACCAAAACTCCCCTTTGAGGCCATTCTTTCAAAATTTAAAAGCCTAAATAGGTACTAAAACTTACGGGTTTGGAGGTTTTTCTAGCCGAAAATGGTGTAAGGTCGCCGGAAGTCTAGTTTTCTCGTCGGAATTGCTTACAAAACGCCAAAAATTGCCAATAACTCGAGAGCAAAATATAATGTTAGTTTTGCAAGGGTAGAAAGCCTGAGAAAACCTCAGAGTCCTCCTTTTATAGAAAAAAAAATCCGATCTCCACCGTTGAATTCAAATGCGATCAATCTAAGCCGTTCATCGCATCTTCAATCTAGGCCGTTGAAATGAAACGCCAGATTTGATCTACGCCCAAGATGTCGCTGTGACTTTCACGCTTACTTGAAACGCGTTACCTCTGTTACAAACAGCAGTCAATAATAATTAGTAGCCGCAGCAGCCTTTTAGGAGAATGGGCAGGGCACCCAACTGTCACCTTGAAAACACGCAACAGTTGTCAAATCATTTGACGTTTGAATCGCCTCGGACGCTGCGTTTCCTCCCATGCTTTACAAAGTTTCAGCCATCTCCCAACGCGTCGGCCTTTTAGGTCAGCGCACCGATGGCAGATGAGCTCCTCCTCCAACTTTACAAAGCTTGGACGCACCTGATGCGAAGGCCCTTTTGGGTCATCGCCTCGGACGCTGCGTTTCCTCTCATGCTTTACAAAGTTTTAGCCATCTCCCAACGCGTTGGCCTTTTGGGTCAGCGCACCGGTGGCAGATTAGCTCCTCCTCCAACTTTACAAAGCTTGGACGCACCTGACGCGAAGGCCCTTTTGGGTCATCGCCTCGGACGCTGCGTTTCCTCCCATGCTTTACAAAGTTTCAGCCATCTCCCAACCCGTCAGCCTTTTGGGTCAGCGCACCGGTGGCAGATGAGCTCCTCCTCCAACTTTACAAAGTTTGGACGCACCTGAAGCGAAGGCCCTTTTGGGTCATCGCCTCGGACGCTGCGTTTCCTCGCATGCTTTACAAAGTTTCAGCCATCTCCCAACCCGTCGGCCTTTTGGGTCAGCGCACTGGTGGCAGATGAGCTCCTCCTCCAACTTTACAAAGCTTGGACGCACCTGACGCGAAGGCCCTTTTGGGTCATCACCTCAGACGCTGCGTTTCCTCCCATGCTTTACAAAGTTTCAGCCATATCCCAACGCGTCGGCCTTTTGGGTCAGCGCACCGGTGGCAGATGAGCTCCTCCTTCAACTTTATAAAGTTTGGACGCACCTGACGCGAAGACCCTTTTGGATTATCGCCTCGGACGATGTGTTACCTCCCATACTTTACAAAGTTTCAGCCATCTCCCAACGCGTCGGTCTGTAGGGGTCAGTGCACCATATTCACGAAGCTTCGATGCACGTTACGCGAAGTTCCATGCTGGTTGACTGCCTCGTACGTTACGCACAATAACGAAACTTTGGAAGATCCGCCGCCAATTTGAGATTTGTCCTCCACCTAAAGTTTAAATTGATTTGACGTCTCCATGAGGCTAGTCGATGTGACTTATCAACTTTATGTCAATTCAACTCAGTAGAAACAAACTGTCCGCCCACTCTACAAACGCGGCTGATTGACGCTTATGAGCGGACGCTTCATATTGTCAGATGTATACACACGTCCCAGATCCAACGGTTTATACCACCTATAAATACCCAAGGTTTGGCAAGAGGCAAAGGTAATGAAACTCTTACTACATAGCACTCCATAGAAAGTTTATATATTTTCTCCTCCCCCTTTATCATTGATTTGCATAGCCCTTGGTACTATTCCGATCACTTAAACCTGACTTGACCGTCGGAGTATATATGGCCGCCACTACCCCCACTGGTTCCGGCCGTGTGCGCCTGACTATTCGCTGATTGTGCACAGGGAGGAACACGTGGAGTAGCTTTCAGTTGGCCACGTGGAAGGACCAATTTTCGGGGTCAACAGTGTCCATTTTGGTGATTCAATAATAAAACCCACACTCCATATTCGCTTACCTTCCCACCTTATCTCCAATCCTTCATTCTGCTCTTGCTCACACGAAGCTCTGAAAACCAACAATGTCGAAGGAGGAAGAGACCCGATTGGAACTCAAAACCCCAGAAGATGAATCCGAGTCGGATTCCGACTCTGACTACGAACCACTATCGTACTACTGGCCCCGAGGCACCGCCCACGAAACAGGACCCGATGACTCAGATTCTGGAAACACGGCCGAGTCCAACATCTGCTGCTTCACCAAGGTGCTCAACTCCAAGCGCCTTCGTAAAGAACGGGAAGAGGAAGAAGAAGACTACGTCTATCACGAGGACCTATTTAATTTCCCGAAGGACCCAGAGAACTAGAGGGAGGAGGACTGGAAAGAGCTCAGGGGAGATGCTCCAATATGTCATTGTAGACTGCTGTTATCCTTCGGTGTTGATTGACAACTGAGACATCCAATTTGAATGCTTTAATTGAACATTGCAGCACATTTTTATATTGCCTTGGTGGTCATTCCTTTAATACCTCTTCTCTTATCTCTCTCGGCCTTTTACCAGGTGGTGGTGACAAAAACTAATAGTATGTTATCTCAGATGCATGCAGGCATAGCAGAGGAAGCTGCAGCTAAGGCTTGGATGTTTGTCAATAAACCTGATGGAAGTATGTTGCACTCTTTTTTCTTTTCTTTTTCTCACTTATAAGTTTCTTCTTTCATCAGGACACAAATTAGCTAGTAAAAAGCTTATGTTGGAGAAGTAATGATTGAAGCAAACTTTTAACCTGTTGATTAGGATGATTTTTATTACTTCAGTGGCTGTTAGCTAGGACACACTAAAATGATAAACGATACAAAAATCGTTGTGTATACATACAAAAATGCATAAAATAAAATTTTATGTACCTTGATTCAGTCATTTCAAGAGCGAGATTTCGAGGTTGATGAGCGATCCATAATTCATTCTGATTGCAGATTTACACCTTGCCGATCTCAGAAGAGAGACAGAGGAGCTGAACCTCAACGATTTGTTTATTCGTTTTACTAATCGGGGCAAATGTTTAACAAAATAGGAAATTATAGAAACTAAGAGGTTTAAAAATTCCATTTCATAAATCGTACACCAAGTTTAACATTTCAAATATCAGATGTTTAATTAATTAATTATTATATATCAAAATTAATTATTTCCTATTATATCAAGAAAAATCCAAGTTCAATGAATGGAACAAATTACAGCACAGACATTAGATAAATACGTAATAGTCATCAATCATATCAATATGTGTAAAAGATAAATGAAATAAAATTACTCATCATTGTTTAGAACTCCATATTCTTCAAAACACAAGGAAAGGCATACCATAGCAGTGTAAAATTCTCCAAGTTTTCCGGTTTTCTAATTGTACATGATTCTACATTATAATAAAGCAGACCTTTGCCTTTTATTGAAATAAAAACCAGCTCTTCAACATGACCAACCAATACACTTGATAGTGGCACAATGGCGTTGCATATAGATGAAAAATTGATGTAATATTCTGAAATCCACAAACTATTTTTTTGGTCTTCCAGCCTCCACATTTTCACAATTGCTTTTCCTTTGGAACAATGTGCCAAATATAAACACTCCTTTAACTCTACCAAGTAGGCAACGGTATCAGTACTGAGCTTTGGGCTTAAAATGATTTGGGATTCTTCCTCATCCAAATCCAAGGCAAGAAGAGAAATGCATTCGAAAAAATTCTCCAACATTGTGTTAAGTATCTGCCAAAAAATCACTCCATTTACACACACAGAATGCTCGCTAAGGAATTCAAAAGGATGCGTTTCAGTCAATCTCCACGAATCTGATTAGAATCTAAGACGATCAGTTAAACTAAAAATTTCACACCCCATGCCATCCTTCTTCTGCGTATACCACCCAACAATTTTGAATTCTTTTCCAACAGATGAGTACCCTAAACCTATACGTACATGACCAAGATGATCAGTAGGAGCATGATCAGGAAGAATTGCTCTCTCTTGGGTATTCAGATTACAAATAGAAATTTTTGTCTGAACGAAACATAAAAAATTATGACACGAGATTACGGAATAAATACAAGCATTCTTAATAGGGAGACAGTAATTTTCCTGAATCCTTTCGTTAACTGTGTCCACGATGGATACGTGAAGAGATTTAACGTATCCGCCGAAAATACTTCTATCCCAAATATATAGATAAGATTTTCGATGAAGTCGTTGGTGGCGCAAAGCTTTGACAAAGCCAGGATGAGGAGAAGATATCAAGCTATTCCATTCTTTGGAAACACAGGTGAACCTGCAAAGAGTCTTCTCAGGGAGCCTCGATAGTACGTCTACTAATAAGTCGGTTGGTAGTTCACTTTTCTTCTCTACGCGTTGATCTTCCATCAAGAGACGGTGGAAGATATTTTCTCTCTTTCTGTGGAGGGTTGTGATAAATAATTTCTTTGAATCCATTGTAGTATTTATAGATGGAACTTTCTGAGGCTAGAAGTTTAAGTAGGGTAGGATTAGTTACAAACCCTACAACGCTAGGGGTTGGAAACCCTAATATGGTGCATGATTCTGATTGGAAACCCTAAAAAATTAAAAAAAGTTTAACACTACTGGTGGAAAACTCCATTAGTCCCTAAACTCCTAGATGGTGTAGAAAGACGCCCTAGACATAGTACTTGTTTGAATTAGTTCAAAAAGTTGATAAAAATTTAAGTGAAAACTTAAAAATTAATTTTAATCACATCTTTTATGGAAACTATAACTTTTATGAATTTTTCAATCACACTTTTAATCAAATTTAACCCTGAGTTTTGGTTAAACTTGAATGTGATAAAGATAAACAAGCAGGGATTTGGCTAGAGGGTCAAGAATTTTTTGCTTTTACCTTTACTAGTACATGTCAAATAGGGAAAGAAACCTTGCGGAATTAGGTTAAGTAGTTGTAGGCTTGTAGCCCTAATTTCAAGTGTCGTAGTCCGTTGGTATGTAGGGATCGGGTTTTGTTACAACCTTCCCTTTTGCTAATTTGTTTCCTTATTGGATCGAGTTATTTTAGGGGATTAATCCTTTCATAACTTCTTTAATCATCAAGGATTTTGTGTGGATATTTAGGAGTTCAATTCATAAGACATTTTCTTTATAAAACATATTATCTCAAGATACGGCGATTATGTTGCAAATTGTTGATTGATTGCTAAAGGCATTGTGCTTTGTCTAGTGACCCTCGTTCGATGAACTTTTTAGGGCTTCGACACTAAGCTTTTGACAAAGAAAGGTTCGAGGAGAGGGTAAAGCCTGGCCATGGTAATTATTAGATGAAGACCATAAAGATGTAGTACAACCGAGGGCAGGGACGGAGTTAAACGTTTAATTTGTACTGTGGGATCAAAAATTAAAATACAATTTTTTTAAACAACATTTTAAATTTTAATGACTCTTTGTACAACATCTTTGTCAAATAATTTCCATCAAGACGGAGGATATTTTCTCTCTTTCTGTGGTGGAGGGCGGCGATAAAAAATTTCTTTTAGTATTTATAGATGGAACTTTTTGAGGCTAAGTTGGGTAGGATTAGAAGTGCACGGCCATGATTTACAAACCCTAAAACAGTAGGGATTAGAAACCCTAATTTGGCGCCTATTGTAATGAATAATAATTCCCAAAATTTTATTTTATTATTTTATTTTATTTTTTTAACTCTAGCATTTTTCTTAGTTCTTCAATCTTAAAAGTAACTCGATTATTAAAAAAAATTTGAAAAGTTTAACACTATTGGAGGAAAACTCCATTAGTCCCTAAACTCTTACATGACGTAGAAAGACCCCTAGACATAGAACTTGTTTGAATTAGTTTTAAAATTTGATTAAAATTTAATTGAAATAAAAATTGACTTTTTGCAAAATCGAACAAGAGTTCAAGTGATATGGAAACCTACTAATAAAAATAAGGACATAATTCTAAAAATGAAGATGTCAGTCTCCTATCTTCATTGTGTTCGTAACTCATTTTCACGTGACATTGAATTTAAAAATAAAGTAAACCAGAACAAACTTATTTGTCTAAATATGTTGTGAGTTGGCTGACTTAAAGATATTCAAGTTTACGGCAAATGTGAGTTAGGTTATTCATCTTAATAGCGTTTATCTCCAAAATTTAATATACCATAGATTTCAATTTATTTTTTTTTCTTTCATTTGTCCAACTACATTCACTAACAGTGCACTGTCGAAATTGATTACTGAACTTTGCAAATCACTTAAGACAATTGGAGTTTGCAAAAGGTTTTGACGAGATCACTGAAAATCACCTCATTCATCACTAAACTTTGCAAAAGATTTTCACGGAGACACTCAACTTTGCAAAATGTTTGATCTCTTAGGAATTTTTTTGCAAAGTTTAGTGATGAATGGAGTGATTTTTAAAGTTCAATCCCATGAAAACCTTTTGCAAAGTTCAATGACCCGTGGGAACATTTTACAAAATTCAGTGATGACTTAGGTGATTTTAAACTTCAGTGACCTGGTGAAAGCCTTTGGTAAAGTTCAGTGATTATTGGGGACCCGTTTGACAGAGCTTTAACTTTTAGGGAGATGGTAACATAGGAGCAAAAGGAAAAGAAATATACTGCATGTTAAATCTTGAGGTATTTTTTTAAGTTCAGTTGAATAGCCTGTACGAGTTGAGGCACCACTACATATTTCTTCGCCAGAGACTCAATCTTGAGGGATTTTTTAAGTATTTGTTTGGGATTCTGCCGAAACATACTCTCTCCGGTAAATTGTTTTACAATATTGTGTATATAAGGGATTCTTGATCTATTCTTCATGATAATATTTGTGTGTTTTCATAAATATTCTTTATTAGATTCATGATAATCTTGTATGGAAATGGAATTTGAGTTCTTTTCTTTGTCCTTTCTTCTGTGTCATTTTACAGATTATTTGAGTGTTTCAAAATAAACTGATTAATATTTTTTCTCATTATTCAGAACTATCTTTATTGCTCACACAGTTATTTACAAAAATGTTTGCCTTTGGATTTATGTTACAAAAACTTGAGAATAGTGATAGATGTAAGGATTTTTTAATTAAAAATGAGCTTGTATGTGTGAATAATTGTGTGTTAAATTATAGGATATCGAATTCGGTTGAGCCCAATTAAAGTGATCTAATAAGGTTTCCATTTTGGGGTTTAATGTATCCAATTAAAGTATGTGTTTAAATATGTGTAGAGACCGGGCCCAAGTCATAATTTTATGATGGGCCGAATTAGGTCAAAGGGCATCCCTATATAAATACGTTATGGTCCCCAAATCACATGCAACGTATTATTCATTCTCTACTGCATCCCATCACAGAGAGGAAAAGGAGACTGCGTGTAGATTTGGAAGATCATACCGCGAAATTCATATTGCATTAACCATGTCTGATTCAGGTATGCTTCCACTTTAATTCTTATATTTCTTGATGATTTAACATGAAAGATCCGGTAATTTAAAGCACTAAATTCTCCAACAAGTGGTATCAAAGCCTTTTTATGTTGAATCATTGAGAATCAAAGGTTTTAGTTTGGTTCTTGCAATATATTTTGAAATTTTCAGATTTAACAATTTTTGGTTATATATTTTGTTAAATTTGAAAATTTTTTGTGGTATAATTCTTGTTATTTTTGAAATTTTGGATTATGGATTATATGGATTTTAAATTTAGATTTCAGTAAAGATTCAGAAAATATCAAAAAAAAAAAATGGTTTGAAGTTTTTTTTCCTCGCGTTGCTGCCAACACTGTAGCGCCCGGCGCTGCTAGAGGTTGCCAAGAAGAAAGGGGCGCCGGCCAATCTGTAAGGGGCGGCGCCGCCAAGGAAGAGAGAAGAAATTTTTTTTTAGGGTTTCTGATTTTTGGTTGAATTTGGGGGTGGGGGCTTCCTCTATAAATTAGATAAGTTGAGGCCCCTGGTTGCAATTAGGGTTATAAAATTAAGGTTTCAGTCTCTTGCAATTAGGGTTAGGGTTATAAAATTAAGGTTTCAGTCCCTAACCTTTAAGTTATATTGAGATTTGGGCATTTAAGTTTCGAATTTAATAATTCAGTTCCTAAGGTTTTAAAATTAATTAATTCGGGCTATTAAAGTTCTGAATTTATAATTAAAGCCCTCGAACTTTAATTACTAGTTCAAATTGGCCCCCTAAGTTCATAATTAATTCAAATTGACCCCTAAAGTTTCAAATTTTTAAAATTTGATCCCTAAAGTTTTGAATTGGTCAATTTGGCCCCTAAAGTTTTAAAATTTGTTCTAATTGATCCTCTAAAGTATTGAATTAATTAATTTTGGTCCCTAAAGTTTCAAGTTTATTAATTTCAACCCCTAAAGTTTGGAATTAACTAATTTTTCCCCCCTTAAAGTTTTGAATTATTAATCTTAAGGCCCCTAAAGTTTAAAACTAATCAAAATATGCAAAATTGGTGATTCTCCTTCTCAAATTTTGGTACAAAAGACTCTTTTAAGAGATATAATATTCGACAGTTAGTTAATTGAAGCAACATGTTGCCAAAGCAACCTCTCTTGTGAAAATTGACTAACTTAGAATGTTAAAAAGTGTTTGTGCACGTGTTATTCATGGGAATATTGGTCGGCCCAAAGGAAGGTCAATATTTAGCCGAATACACGTGCACCTGTGGTGATAAACGTGTGACGATTATTTGGTTTAATGTGTGATCAATAAATCGGTCCAAAGAAAGGTTTGTTGATTGACATATTGTTTTATCGTCAATATTTGATCACTACACCAAGAGTACCACTTACAAGTCAATATCTCTGTCCAAAGACTGGATATTGATGTTGTGCTTGGTATCTTATGATGGGCCCTACCACTATTTGAGATTATTATTATTTGCATATTAAAGATATTATTGTGAGCTATTCATAATAAATGTTCTCTAATTCAGTTTCAGGTTCTACTGCTAATATCTCTGCTAGCATCAATTCAATTCCAATGTTAAATGGCACAAACTTCAGGGCATGACAAGAGAACGTTATGATTGTTCTTGGAGTCATGGACCTAGACCTTGCTTTACGGGTCGATCAACCTGCTGCACTTACTGATAAGAGTACCTCTGATGACAAGAGGGAGATGGAAAAGTGGGAATGATCGAACCGCATAACCTTAATGGTCATGAAGCGTGCTATTCCAGAAGCATTCCGGGACACTATGTCCGATAAGGTGACTACGACTAAGGGTTTCCTTGAGGACCTTGAGAAGAGGTTTGCCAAGAATGAAAAGGCTGAAACAAGTACACTTTTGGCAAATCTTGTCTCAATGAGGTATAAAGGGAAAGGAAACATTTGGGAGTACATTATGGAAATGTCTCACATTGCTTCAAAACTAAAGGCACTCAAGTTGGATTTATCTGAAGACTTGTTAGTGCACTTGGTTCTGATATCCCTTCTGACACATTTCAGT